AGTACACTTCTTTCAAATCCAATCAAATCACTCTATTACAGCCATAACACCAGAAAAGAATGATATAAAACCTAAAACAAGTGTGTGCAAGTATTTGTGATTGTAAATGCACACACAAACCTATGTATATATTGACAAGTATTTACAGATAAAAGATAAATAACAAGAAATAAGAATGAAATATAAAATATGGAAGTGCAGGGCAAAAAGTGCAATAATGATAGAATAACCATAGAAATAATAGACTGCTGAAAGATCAGCAACATTTGTTTGCTATCCGGTGAACTTGGGAGCCATTCGACTGCACATGAATCCATGTGTAGACAATGGCAATGGAGGAGTTGTCCCAGAGAAAGTCGGCTTCTTCTTTTAGAGACCCAGTGAGCAGAACTGAGTCTGTTTAGAGAAATATGAAGAGCAATCTGTTTTGTTTGAAGTGAGCAATTTTGCGTGCTGGAGGTGGCTGCTTCTTTGGATGTTGGAGGAACTTTGCATTGTGTAAGACTGCTGCTATTCACCTTTGCATTGATTTATTAGGTGGTTTAGTTGTTAATCATCACCAACACTTTTATTAACTTTATTAGCAAAGCAATTATTGGTTCTTTCTTCTAAGGTACGAGTCTTAACTGGGGCTTCTGCCTGGCCTTCAAAAAACCTGAGAGTTTTCCTGTGTATTTTCGGAGAACTCCCTTGAAATCAGTATTCCATGAATCCAGATTCTTCTTTATGGAAGCCAACTGGTTGAACACTGAGATGACAGTTTGAGCAGTAACAAGGCATGGTTTTCCATAAATTCAGTTGAATTTTCCTATGGAAGTAACTCCTCCCACTTCTGGCTCTGCAAATCCTTGTGTTTATTCTTCTTCTTTTCCCCCAGAGTGATAGGTGAGCTGATAAAGTTAACTGGAGAAGCACAACAGGAGGTTAAGGGGAGTTGAACTGCCCAGCTGATTCTTCTTGAAGAGAAACTGAAAGATCAGACACTTGTTGCTTTTCCCCTTCAGTTTAAAGGTCCCATTCAAATGCTTCATGTTTTTTTGCTTGGTCTACCTTATAGGGTTGACAGGCTGTCATGCAAACACAACATAGATGCCATTATGTTAACCCTGCGAGGGAGTCTGACAAGAAGCACATCCAGGAATACTAGTTCTACCTTTATTGTAAGGTTACCTTAACAGAATCTTGCAGGACTGAAAATATTTCTCCCCTCCTCTCCT